AAACCAAAAATTTTTCCCCTAACAAAACCTAATAAAACCCCACTACATCCCACTGACACAGCTAACAAGATAAACGACTCTTCTCAACCATAGGATCTAATCTCGCCAGTAAAATCCCACATACCAATGCCCATGCCGGGGACTACCTAGATGGGAATTTCCCTAATTCCTTCTATCTTGCACCAACTGAGCCCACGGAATCCACCGAGTTTAATAAATCACTTAAAAAAAACTCGGGAATCTGTCTCATGCCCCACCATTACTGTACAAGCGAGCGGCCATGTCCTTTCGCATGCTATTTCATTACTCTTTAACAAGCCCACTAGAGACAAGCAACCTTCCCGAAATTTCTCCAAGATGGCAAGGGTTACACCAATACATAAAGGTGGTGACCCTACAGACTTAAACAACTAAGGCCAATATCTAACTTACCATTGCTATCCAAAATCTTTGAGAAACTCGGCACAGGAGACTTATTCATTTATAACGGCTCAAAACATACTCAACCCCTGCCATTTGGATTCAGGAAAAAAAAAAAGCACTAATGATGCAAATCATAAAAAGCTAGATCTGCTTTACACAGCATTGGAAAATAAGGAATATCCACTAGAATTTTTATTGACCAAAGAAAAGCTTTTGACACAGTAGACCACGACATCCTACTCCACAAACTTGATCATTACGGTATAAGAGGCCATGCCTTCCCTTTTTTCAAATCTTACATTATTTAAAAGGTTTTCAGTATGTCACCATTAAAGACACAGCATCAGCTACACGGCCACTTGATACTGGAGTTTCCGCAGGGAAGTGTCCTTGGTCCCCTGCTCTTCCTCATATACATCAATGACCTTCCAAACGTATCCCAACACCTGAAACCCATTCCTTTGCTGACGACACGACTTTGTCATCCCCCACCCTATCTGCCACCCTAACACCACTGTGAATGAGGAGCTGATTCAAAATATCGACTTGGATGAAGCCAATAAACTTAGCTTTAACACTGACAAAACCACTAATTAATTTTTGGTAGCAGAGCAGAGAGCACAAATTAACAATAAGATTGACAACACTCTAATTACCAGAAATAATAGGGGCAAATTCCTAGGCTTATACCTTGACAACAAACCTGAATTTCAACACCCAATCCAGCATAAAAACCAAAAAAGTATCCAAAACGGTTGGGATCCTCTCCAAGATACGATACTACGTGCCCAAAATGCCCTTCTCACACTATACCCTCACTTATTTAAACCATACCTCACCTATGCTATTTGTGCTTGGGGATCAACTGCAGCAAACACACCTAAAGCCAATAATAACCCAACAAAAAGCTGCGTAAGAATAATCACTAAATCCCATCCCTGGCAACACACCCCCCCTACTCTTCATAGACCTAAACTTACTCCCTGTTCAGTACATCCACACTTACTACAGTGCAAACTACATCAACAGGGCCTTAAACTCTAAAAACGACCTATGACCAAAAACGCTTTCTTGATAGTTGTGACAGAACCCCACAGGCATAACACCAGACACTAAAACATCACTTCGACATTCCCCGTGTCCGACTAACCTTTACAAAAATCTCAATTATGCCAAAAGGCCCTAAAATCTTGAATACCCTACCTGAGAACTCAAGAACTAGCAGACACATTCAAACACCTTCAAACTACCATTAGAAAACATCTTATCTCCCTGATACACCCTGTCAACTAACTACACGAATACCACTGGGGTCACACTTACACTCACTGACTCATTTGACCATAAAACAGAATATTAATCACGAAATTAAATAATGAATCCTGTGATACTCCAATGCCTGAAACTATGTACTTTGCCAAAACCAAAGCATTCACATTGCTAAAACTCACAAACTAGTATTTTAGTCACTAGCCATAAAATACCAACTTACCTCATAATTGTAATATTTTCAATAAGAATAAAAATCTAAGTCTGCCCTAAATGCCTATCCCATGCTAAACGTTCTAGTGGTACACTCTGTAATTCACTAATTTTACTACATGTATAACCACACAATAACCAAATTTCTGTAATACTCACATTGTAATCCTTATAGAAATAAACTTTGAATTTGAATGTGAATTTGATGAAAAGCAGGGGTGTCACTACACTTAAGAGACCAAACAATAATGTCAGTGGCCCGAGACTGTTCAACTGCCTCCCATCATACATAAGGGGAATACCAACAGACCCCAGCAAGTCTTCCAACTGGCACTGGACAAGCACCTAAAGTTTTGGTTCCCAGTCACCTGGCTGAGGCTCGTACGTTGTGTTTGCGTGCAGCCACAGAAACAGCCTGGTTTGAATCAGGCTCTTATCCACCAGGAGGCCTGTCACAGACCGGCCGCGGGGCGTTGACCCCCCGGAAACTCTCTCCAGGAAAAACTCCAGTAAACAAATATGCTGTGCTCTCGCTGTTCGCTTACGTACCACAATCGTTTTATTGTATTCATTTGTAAGACTATCGTATACTTACTGAATTTTTATCTCACAGTAAATTTGAATTCGTTGTATTGATTCGATTTTTTTATCAATTATAACTAAACTATGTTAAATAAATGACGTTTATTCGAGGACCTTCTGTGTTCACCATCACACATGACGACTCCGACGTAGGAATATTCTCTGCCAACACGTATGTCAGCACCATGAAGATTTTGCTCTCCTCCGTCGTCCCCGCATACAACTCTCACCCCGGGTCGACCCTCTCCATGAACACACTCGCAGCCTGAGTCGTCCCAATTGTTAAGATAAGAATTCGTTTCGGATTTTTAACCCCGGAGGGTTAGCCCACCCAGGATAACCCAAGAAAGTCAGTGCGTCATCGAGGAACTGTCTACTTATTTTCCTTGGGGTCCTTAATCTTGTCCCACAGGTTGCGACCCACACCAGTCGACTAACACTCAGGTACCTATTTGCTGCTAGGTGAACAGGGCAACCATGTTAGGAAACGTGTCGAAAATGTTCCACCACCCGCCCGGGAATCCTAACCCGGCCCTCCGTTTGAAGCGGGAGCATTAGCCACCAGGCCACCGGTGTCAACCAAATGTTCATACCCAACATTTTTATACAAGAATTGCCCTTTATTTCATTAAATGTTTGTCGATCTTAATGCTACTGTTTTTATATTATACTATTTATGGTAATACTGGAAACTGTTTCCAATAATGTGCAATTGTTCATGATGGCACCAGTACAATGACCGGACGCTAGTTTAAACTGCCGGCTTCTCCAGACCGACCTCCATGTGGGGTAAATTGTCACTAGCGTTCAGTCAGGTAGGTTAACAACACCTCTGAGTACCACTCTCCCACCTAGTCTGAGTTTTCTCCGATTCTAAGTGTTCTCTGTTCATCGATTAAATCTTCCTGTCCGGATAATTTAAAATTTAAGAGATTGGTAAGGATAATGATACAAGTAACTTACTTTGGTCACAATACTGATTGCCTAACTCTACTAGTGCGAAATATGTCTTCCCCAGTAAACTCATGAGACGTAACAATAGCTTTGTATAGAAAATTCCTAATATCCCCTTTGTGAAAGGGGAAAAGAGTAATTTTAAGCTCTGTTTTTAATTAAAAAAAGTTTTCATAGAAATATGAAGATCCTAACTAAGTTTTTAATATGTTATTAAAGACACGGATTTTTTTTTTTTTTTTTTTTACTTGAGTTTGGTCATCCTACAGGAAAGAAGGTTTAAGTCTTTGATAAAAAATTATAATTGCAGGCACTAACAAAACCTTGTTCTATTAGTTTCTCCCCTAGAAATAGCCACCTTAGCAACAGATACCCCATCAGAGATCAGTGCCTAATGTTAAACTCTCCAAAGATACCGCAACACAAATTGTTTGACGGTTTTTGAAGGGACTTGAACTAGAGATCGTTATAGCCATTTGGAAATTCATCTGTAAAAACTTGGATTTGAGTCATGGGACCCATGCTAACCTCCCATGGTGTATAAATAAAACCTAGTTGGGTGGATTCTTATTGTAGCCAGCTGTCCGGAGTTTTAAAGACTCACATTGCTCGCAAGTTCCAATCTCCCACCTGTACCGTGGTTGCCTTTCTTAAATCATTGTCATCCTACCCTCTCCGCTATATTCAATGATTCCTGCCTGCAATCCTGCTCACACCTGCATTGTGCGCTTCCCACAGTAGACTGTCCTGAATACAGTGCTTACCTTGCCCTACCGTGGCTGCTCTGTCCTACCGTGCTGTTCTGCCTTTCGATCTGCATCCCAGTCGTGCTATCCTGCATTCTGCGCTGCCCTGGCTACCATGCTTCCCTGCCTGGCCTGTGCTGCCCCACCTGCTGTGCTGCCCTGCCATGCCGTAAGCTACCCTGCCTCCAGCGTTGCTTGTAATCAGTGTTTCAGCCTAGTGTGCCGCCTCTTTTTGATGGGCCAGAGTTTTTCAGCACCAACTCCAGTACTGAGGGACTGATTACCTCGTCTTTTGTACATAGTTCTACAGTCTTCACGTTTTTCGTTGGATTTTATCGATAAAGCCACTGGATGGCGAAACGTCTAAAAATGAAGATGTCGCACATGTCTAATTCTTTATCTTGTTGGTATTGTGGATCATTTATGTATACCATTCCTCTTGCACATAAATCATTTGCATAAATTTACCTGCTCGCCCTCTTATGTAAAAGTGCGATGCCATAGTTTTGGCCCCCATGAGATTCCTTTGTTTCTACTTTACTCCAGGTCAAGTCGACCCACTCTTGGTCAATGAACGTATGTACGCTTATCAGCTGGTATTTATTTTCTTCCATGCTTAAACCCGCCTTATGGAGGTGGGTAATGTAAGGTATCAGTGACCTGTTTCCCCCAACTCTCACTTCTCGACCAGCTGTCCGGCAATTATCTCCTCTCCAGTGCCCACTCTCGTGGAGCTAGAGAGGACAACAAAGTGGTAGGGGCAGGAATAGTCATACACAGTAAGACACAGGAAACAGTGGAACACTTACCGAGATATTCAAGATGAGGTAGACTGGAAGTTACAAACACTCGTAACTTTGGCAGGAGCCGTTGAGCGTAGTCATCGTTCACAAGAACCAGGTAGAGAGACTTCAGGGTGGAAGGAAGCAGTTCTAACACGTCACTGCTCAGATGACCCCGGAAGCCTTCCAGGCTACTAATATACCAGGATAAAGCAAGTATGAGTAACACTTTTTCATTCACTAAACTCACCAGCTACACTTGAACACTGTATATTACACCAGGCAGTCTTGAAGAGAAGTGGATCTCAATCAACACTCTTTACTAATTTGAAATTTCATATTTCACCATTAATTAACTCCAAAATAATAAAAAAAACAGCTCAGTCATAAAACTTTTTGACATATCTCTAACGGAAAATATTACATTCACTAAAATTTACACCATTTCATTATATTTACACAATTTCACTAACTTGATCATCAAAATCCCAACTGTCACTAAACTTAAAACAATTTCACTCACTCATTCACTTAGGGGGCTGTATAGCAATTTTCCGCGCACACTCAAAAAAAAAAAAAAAAACGAAAAATTATGGTGTGGCATGCAAAGAGTACGTAACCTTTATTCGGCGCATGTACACACCCTCATTTACAGGCTATCTCCTCCAACCAGCGAACCAGGTTGCTAAGAGTTGATGATGGGGCCCCGTCGTTCAACTAGTGACCAGGTTCTAGCCAATAAGAAGATGGTTTTGGCAATCGCAGAGGTTATGTGGGTACCGCTCTCCTGTCTGCCCTTGTCATTCCCATTCTAGAGCTGGTTGAAGCACGGTCTGCTATCTTGTGGCTTCTATTTCTGTCTTGCTTCCCATGGTGGCACTATATTTTATCACATCTATGTACATATTGCTTTTAAAAAATTGGTGAAGGAAATATAAGCTAAACTTTTTCGCTTGTTTATTTGCTCCCATTACCCCCCGGATAACAGGCCTTTTGGGATTCCTGGGTTGTAATATGGGTAGCCTGTCCGGAGCTGGAGCGGACTTAAAAAAACTTTTGACTTAGGTGAAGCTCGTAGTGGAACATTGTGCCTTGCTGTCTGGCATTGCTTTAAAAAAATTTTGCGTTCAGTTGCTTTAGGGTCACCCTTTGCTATTGGTGATCGTTCAACAGCTCGCTACTAGCTTGTGGTGTGCCGCTTCGCAACGGTAAATCTTCTAGAACAGTGACTGTCGGCATTGCTTTACAAATTTTGCGTGTCATTTTTGGGTTACAAAGCCTTTTTCGGTGTGGAAAATTTTTCAGTCATTTTGCTTGTAGAAAATTTTCTGAAATCGTACTGTGCATAGCTAAGCTGTTTGCAAATTAACGTTTTCGTTGGGGTATTTCGCAATCGTAAAGTGCATAGCGAATAACTTTTTCCACCTAACGAGTCGACGTCGGTGCGGCATATACTTTGCAAAACCTACTTAAATTGCCCCTACACATTGTTGGCAAATTGCCGTTCCTTTGGGCATTAAAAAAAACCCCTCACAGCTGCCAACTGCTTTCACTGATTCTGACAAATTTATAGAAGAAGAGATGGCACATCAGACTTTTCCCCCTCAAAGGGAGTAGGGCAAAGACTCCTATTTTCACGCAGGAGGGATGATACACCTAGGGAGAAAAAATGGTCATATAGTGCAGCGGGGGTTGCTCGGGGAAAACAGCGTCGTTGGCACTTGACGGGAAAAAATAAATCTTGAGAAAACGGGGAACAAGACTTTCCCAAAGGGGAAAAATTTATAGGGAAAGAGAAAAGGGGCGTTTCGCATTCTGAAAAACGATTTTATTACAAAAGCATACAGCTTTTTCCCCCCGCTTCAATGAGGCCGAACCAAACAATTTTTCGAAAACTTCGAAAACAGGCTCGAGCCTTGGGGTGGCCGGAACAGCTTTGGGATGTTGGTTCATACAGCATTAGGGGTAAGGCACGGGAATTTACGCAGTATTAAATGACCTGAATTTTCTGATTATCAAGTAGTAAGCCCAAACAGTGTTGGGAGCTATACATTATACCCAAAATACAAAAAGAATTTTAAATTTTAAAGCGGCAGCTTGGTCAATCCCTTGAACTTTGTGAGACAGCAGACCAAACTTTTACCAGCTGGATAAAGCAAGTGTGCCTCTACCTTGGGGGAGCGGTACAGCTTTTCTGAGTGAAACCTGCTGGAGTCTGTGGGACCAGAGGTTAAGTCTTTCTGCAGGATCGTGACTTAAACCCACTGCTTTTGGAGGCAGCCAGTTGGCGATACCTTCGAAACAAACCCGCCCTTGTCCAGGGGTCCCGTCTCTCTTTTCAACACCCTGGCTGAGCGAGACGTCAACCTTGGAGAATAAGTCCCAGCCGGGGGGAGAACATCTACGTCACCAAACTAAGTCACCGGGTGAGCCACGTTTCCCAAACTTATGGTCCCCTGGGGAAGGCAAAAAAACTCCATGGGCACTCGACAAGTATCCAGAGAGACACCAGCCAAACCCCCCCCATTGCAACGTCACAGGGAGTAAAGGGCAAGCCTGTCGTCGTTTCTTCTGAAACCCAAAGTAGGTCACATCCTCCCAACTGCCCCCCAAAACCCAACCCATTGGAAAATCCTAATTCCCTAGCAACAGTCCCCTAGAGAAGTAAAAAAGGGTAGGCCCCCTTTATTATTGCAAGAGTCTTTTTTCCCTTCAGGAAAACTCAGAAACAATTTAAAAGAAAAGACCTTTAGAGATACGGGAGCATATTGCCACTTGTAAGAGAAGAATATTACCCCTTTCAAGAACATTTCCTTGAATTCCTCTTTTTTTTTTGAAGCATTTGGAGGAGCATAATTCTTTTCCCCTTTGCATAAAATTTATGTACAGTGCAAAATTACACGGGGTACTGACGTAGGTGTCTCAAAGGATTTCCCATGAAAGTGCCATGTTAATACTGGGTAAAACTTTACTACTGTATTTTCGGCCTGAACCATAATGTTTAATTCTTCTGGGGTGTTGGCCATAACTCGGGCAAATCCCATGGGTTGTCTGGAGAAAGTTGACCTACCTTTGGGACGACCCGATCTGGGGAAAAGCCACTTTTTTTTTTTATGAGGCACCCCGGGCCGGACCCCTGGTAAATAAAGAACAGACCCCGATAAACCCCTTCCTTTTCCCGGGTTTTGAAAGGATTCCCAGATGCCCCTTGATCCATGCCCGAGGGACGTCCTTCCGGGGGGAAAAAACGAAAGGACCCTTCTTTAAAAATTCGCTTTTGAGGCAGCCAGGGTAAACCCTTTGGGGTCACCGGTCAAGTAGAAGTTAAAAAAGATTATTTGATCCACTGAGACTGGTAAGGAGTAGAGGGCCAGAAATTTGAGACAGTTAGGGGTTTTCCAACAAGTTTAGACCTCAAATATTAAATACTCATAATACTCATTGGAGGTCACTTAGGAATTACAAAAACCTTGATAAATCACAAAAAATTTTTTTTTGGCCCCAAAATTAAAGAAAATTGAAGAAAAATTTTGGGTGTGCCGAGAAGGTCAGCAAGTAGGGAAACCTGGACATTTCTTTAAAACCTGCACCTCCCCAAACCCTATACCTGCGAGGAGAACCTTTTGCAGATTTAATTATAATTTGTGAGGTCCACTACCTAGGTAAAGTCAAAAATCAATTTATTTAACGTTATGGATAAAGAAACCCAATATCCTAAGCAATTCCTTCGTATTTTAAACTAAAGTTTTTCTCAAAGCTTTAAAAAAATTTTCTTTTCTTTTTTGGCATTCCAAAACTATTCAAATGTCAAGGTACTAACTTCACTGCCAAACATTAGGGAAGTATTAACTAGGAAAAGGGATAACCACAACTTATCCCTGCCTATCATCCCACCCCAAGGCGCCTTGGAAAATTCCATCAGACAAAAAACATTGATAATTTTTTGCAGCACTTTCCAAAAGACGGGGATGAACACCCCTTTTGTTCTGTTCTCATACGAGAGACAGTGAAAAAGTCTACAGGGTATAGCCCCCGTTTGAGCTGATCTTTGGGCACAATGAAAGGGCCTCTTCGGGTGCTCAAAAAAGGGAGGATGGGAGAAGACGTTTAGCTCAACACTCTACAACCCGTTTTAAAGGGGTTCGGGTGGCACGTCATTTACCAAGGCTAACCTAAAGACAGCTCAAAGTAAGTGAAACAAGGATGACAGAAGTCCAAAATTTTCCCTCCTTCCACCGGAGAAAAGGGTTTTGGTGCAGGAACCTATACCTGGCCACACCTTGAAAGCTGATTTACGGGACCTATCAGATTGTAATAAATTACTGATTTTTAAATTTGGGGTGGTAGCCCCCTTTGCTAAACCTCAAAAAACTAAAACTTACCACATTAAAAATAAAGGCTTTTCATACACCAGAAAAAGTCCCAGTAATGACCTGTTTCTCCCTCTGAGGGACTCTGATCTTTGCATTTCTGTCTCTGAAATTAATATAAATTTTCAAATTTTTTGTCCTCCCCAAGGGGTCCTACCCTTTTAATGGGGGGATTATCTAAACCCAAGCAAAAATTTAACTGAGCTTCTACATCATATCCAATATTTTTTTTGGATGTGCCGAAAAAAAAAGTACGTTAGGTTATCATGATGTAGATTGGAAACTCTAAACCCAAATTAAACTTTTCCCCCTACAACTAATCCGGAAAACAAAGGCTACTTCAGCGGAATAAATTTTGTTAAGCAGGTTTAGTGAGGGCATCTAGTCCATGGGCTTCACCGTGATCCCTTTTAAAAGGCTGATGGAGGGTTTCGTTGTGTAAGCTACCGTAAAGGGGAACGAGGTCACCATTTCAGATGCTTTCCCTCTTCCTTTCTGATGACGTAATTGACTTTGGGTAAGGTACTTTTTTTGTCCAAGTTTGATCTCCTTAAAGGCACTATCAGGTACCTTTTGCGGGTAAGGTAAGGGAAACTCTCCCTTTGAAATTCCCGAGGTCATTATAATACACAATTACCCCCCTCGGAATACAAATTCCCCCTCTTTATTCCAAAAATATCCATCGGGTATTAAAGGACTTTGAAGGCACGGCAGCGTACTAGATGATATTGTTGTGGTGTCGAACTTGGGATCAACACCTCTTAACTTAAGGCTCTTTTTGGACCTTTTAAAATTTCCCTTTTAACAGTTAATTTTTTCTAGAT